ATTTTAATATCTATTATGTGAGCTGAAGTAACCCAGCTGATGGAAGGTGCCCAGAAGCTTTGGTTCTTACTCCAGGATCTGTCAGATACTGACTGCATAAGGTGTAGCAATACTGGAATCTTCCTTTTCTCATCATTGATACTTCATAAAAAGGTGGGAAGCATCCTGATTTCAGTAATTTTAAAATGTGGAAAAGTGCTCGTAGTGACTTTAAGATGCCATTGATTACAAGCTGCATCTCTACTCAGATAGTTAAAATATGAAAAACTGTCTGAAAATGGATGAAATGTGGTAGAAACATGTACCTGCAGAAGGGCAACAACAAAAGGCAGCCACGACAGACTGGCTGCAAAGAGGAAGAATTGAGACTAAAGGGGAAAAAATGGTTCGTGTGGATATGTAACTGGACTGTCAGGATATGTCCACTTGATTTCAAAGCTTCCTCCTTCTCTCTTTATGATACCATGTTCCTTCTATCACCCAGTCTTAAGAGTATCTTTCCTCTTATTGGCCCTTGAATCCAATTGATTTCCAAGTTACATAGATCTTACCCTAGCAACAAGCTGGTACAATTAACTTTCTCTCCAGTCTGTGCTCATGGCTGTGGCTACAGCTGGGGCTTTATCACAGACCTGGTTTCCTCTAACAACCTCTCAGCCAATCTTCACACTTCCAGCCTCTGTTCACGCCAATCTATCCTACACACCCTGACAAAACTCATTCTTAGAGCACAGCATTCATAATGCATGCTTTCTAGTTCAAAAGCTTCAGTGGTACTCTGTTACCAAACACTTCAGGAGAGAGAGCAGGCTAGGAGGTCCAACCACCTGGGCTGCAATGGTTTGTGATCTTGGGCAAGTGTCTATACTTCTCTGAGCTTCCCATTTCTTCGCCTGTAAAGAGGGACTGCTCATAGTATCAATTAATAGTAACTGAAATAAATCCATGTAAAGTGCTCTCAATGTAGAGTTTTACATACAATATACAAGTTGGCTATTATTATTAACATCAACATCTTGCCTTTCAAACCTTTTCTTCCACTTCTCTCCAACAGCTTTAGCCAACTGGGTTACTTGTTTTTTGACAAATAATTCTATAGTTCTTTGCTCTCCAAACTCCGTCTCATAGAATGCTTGTCTTCCTATCTCTGCACATCAGATTCCTCTATGAAATGTAAGCCTAAATTCAAATGCTGGTTCAATTCTATTTAGTTTAATCCAATCATCGCTTTAGTACTGACATCCTTGGGGAGGCCATTACAGCCAACACTGGCTCACTTTCCCCATGTCCACACAGGCCCTCCCTGAAGATGTAGTAGCAAGCAGGCAGGTGAGGTGAGATTTAAATCCACTTCCTCTGTTCTGGGATGGGCCTCCAGGTTATCAGATTTCCACTGTTCTAGTTATTACTTCAAGTAAACAAAGTCTCAGTCAATCTCAGTCAATCGCCTCAAGGCCAAGGACTTTCTTTAGAGAGCAGAGGGAAGGGAAGTTCCCACATGAGAATGTGGTAACAGGAAGATCCAAACTGTTGCTGGCAGTCATCTTGCAAAATCAGCCTATGGACATAAACCACATCTGAGAGGACTTCAGAGAAACAAGCAAAAGTTCTGCCATCAGGACTTTTTGGTCCCGTGGTCATTTAAGCCCATGTGTCCTAGGTTTTCTATATCTTGTACCAAAAGCATCCTAATCAATTCAACGGTGCTAGGTACTGATATGTCTAACATGGACAGCTCTGCCACTTTCTCAGCTATAGTTAGACAAGATCCAAGAAAATCTGCTTCTGACACTCTTTTAGACCAAGGTAGAGATTAAATATGGGTGTAAAAGGATTAATGTGTAAGTTAATTCAGGAAGTCCTTTGGAGTCAGGAACTGTGTCATTTGTAAGTTAATTCAGGAAACCCTTTGGAGTCAGGAACTGTGTCATTCAACTTTGCATACAACCTCTCCCCCATATCTATCTATCTACCTACCTATCTATCTATCCATCCATCCATCCTTTTCTCCCCACTACCACAACACACTCTCAACTGACAAGTCAATGAATTAATAAAAAAGAATAAGTCAAATATGGGCTAAAAGGAAGGGAATAGATTTTAAGCAAATTTGAAGATGACAAATTGTTAATCCTGGATGGTTTGAAGATGGATCTTTAAACATGAGGTTAGATTTTTAAGTTACAGAGTAACAGAGTTACATAAATGGCACATAGCCCATTGAACCAATCCCAGCAGTGTAAGAATAGACAAAGGAGCAGGTATAAGAGACAGAGCCACGTGAATTTGGAAAAATCACTTGGCACTTCTAGCCTTAGTTCTCGATCTTAAAATAAGTAAATAAATAAAAGAAGTAGGGATAACACTTCTCATAGGATGGCATAAGAATTATGTATGGAAAACAACTGTTTACAGGAAGGTACATCAATAATACTTGAAACTGAATGCACACAAAGACTTAGTTATGGATAACTGATGGAAAGATTATCCCATCAAGAACAGAAGAGTTGGTAGGCAACAGAAGAATTCAAAATAATTACAAACATGTTAGAGAGGAGGAAAGAAATGGCTGAATAAGAAAGAAGTAAAACCATCACTCACTCTCTACCGTCAACTTAGGCATTAAAGTTACCCTAAAGAAAGGTAACCAGGTTTACCTTGATATATATAATTCAAGTGGGAAATAAGATACCCAAGGATTGATATATTTACCTATAGCAGCAGCAGGTCAACCAATAATTATGTTGAGAGCAAATGAGAAAGTAGTGGAAAAAAAAAAAAAATCCGTGAAAGATCTTTATGAACATCAAACATCCAAAAATTAAGATTTCCAACCAGGGAACAAAAGACTCTGCTGATCCCAGGGAATGAGATAACTTAGCTCATTTTCAAAAGTGACTTCATAGGGATACCAGAATTAGTATTTGTGAAAACCTAGTTTCAAATATTTTCCCAGTTTTTGAGACTCTGGAGTTTCATTCTTGGCCACATCCCCTAAACCTCACTTCCCCTTCCCCAAGAAGAAAAAATCAGTGAAGGAGGAAACATTTGGCAAACACGCTGGGCTCTTTCATTTGTATCATCTCTTGAAATCCATATAACAATTCTGCAACATGAAATCTCCATTAGAAACAGACAAGGGAATTGAGTCAACCGGATGAGGGCAGTGTCTGAAGTCATGAAGTAGTTTTCTTGAAAAATCTGACAAATTTTAATAGGCTTTCTACTTTCACTTTACAGCAAAGTTCTACTCTATATTCTGTAAAATTAGTCATCTGTAACCATCAATAACATTTTTCCTTTTGTCTTCAGTTAAAAATGGAAGAGATAGGAAAATGCAAAAAGAGAAACACTACAGAAAAGTTCCTGGCAATGAGAAGCTATAATCTGGGGTAGGAATCTAAAAGGGACATGAGTGACATTTCTCTTTCAAGTGCGAAGCTTCCTGGAGAATTCCAAGCAGTGTCTAAGCTGACCAAAACAAACAAGCAAACAAACAAACAAAAACACGAACAAACAAACAAAAAGTGATACACTTGTTTCCTAACCGCAGATGGAAAGTAGAGGTGTTTTGTCCAACAGCCAACGAATGCAAAATCGGCTGTGTCTGTATGTGTAGATTCTGCAGCAAATGTTGTTGGCTGAGATGTGCAAGCAAAACAAGTCCAAACCAAGACGTTATCTACCAAGTGGCTAGGGGAACAAGTTACAAAACCTAACAAGCACCATCAGCTCTTCCGTGCAAACCTAAAAAAGCACTTCGTACCGCGATCCCGCTATTAAAGAATTAAGGCTGCTTGTTCCGCACAATTCCCCGGCCCAACTTATAAGACATGCACTGGATTCATCCATACGGGATTCCCCACCCCAAAGTTGGCCAAAAGCATTCTTTAAATTTGCAATCAAGAAGCTGGGAGATATGGGCTTAACTACAATCGTGAGGTGAGGGAACCACCAAACTTAAAGTGCAAGAGCAAGGCATGTTTGCAAGACAGTTTCAAAGTACTCTTGCTCCAGGCATGACTCCCTCCACCCCAAGGCAGGAGGATGGAGTCGCGATGAGGATGAATCTTATTGACGTGAAAACTGTAAAAGGACACTTTTCCTTACAACTCGTACCAGACGCGACCCTAGTGCTTTCCCAGGGCCAGTGCAGCTCCCGCGCCGCGCGCTCCCCTCCTCGCCCGCCGCTCCCGCGCCCGGACTCCTTACAGGGCCGCCCGATCGCTCTCGAGGCCCCGCCCCCTTGCTTTCGTACCGGCCTCATCACTCCGGAGCCCCGCGGGCTGCAGTTATCTGGTTTTAATAAAAACCGGAGTGGTCCATGGCTAGCAAGCTTCCCTCCGGGGAACAGAAGCAGGCCGGATGGTCCCCGCACCGCCAGCTCAGGGCGGGCGAAGTCGGGCGCGCCCTGGCTCACGGTGGCGACCTGACCCGCGACCCCCGAGGCTCTCCGAACTCACCTAGGTTTTGTTTTCCCCAAAGAAAGAACTGTCTCTCTCAAAGGGCGCCTCCCTGGACTTCCCACTCACGAGTTCATCCCGACCCGGCGGGCGGACCTGAACACACACACATCCATCTATTCTGCTTCTGGTCTGGGCGCAGTGTATGCTCACACGGCGCCTGTCAGCTTGCAAAACTGCCTGCTTGCTGTTTCCAACACGCCGAACAGGTGAGCCAGCATCGCGGTGGAAACTCTCGGGGCGTTCAGCCTCGGCGGCGAAGCGATCCACCTCGCTCCCGCACAGCTATCCCCGCGCTCGCAGCCCGTGCCTGGGGAGCCGGGTTGGGGCCCTCGGAGCCCGCGGAGCTGTCGCCCACGGGCCGTCCGGGTTCCTCCGCCATGCGGGCAGAACGCGGGCCGCGCCGGCAGCTATCCCTTGACACAAGGTTCCGGACCTATAGGCGGTTCTCAGCCTTCCCGTCCCGGCCGCGCGCTCGCACGGGTGTCATGGCTGAGCGGCGAACCCAGGCGAAGTTTCCAGGAACTGACGGCTTACCTCTTAGCAGCAGCGTTGAGTGGCGGCGAGGCGGCGACAAGAGCGCCTGTGGCCAGCCCGAACCGAGGAGGATGTGAGAGGGAGGCACCAGGGGCCAGGAACGAAGCCGATGGGAAGAGGAAGGCGCCGGGTATCTATCTACAATCAGAACGTGGGCTGACTGTGACGTCACAATGGCGCGGCCAGCCAATCGGGGTTCCGAGGCTGAATCAAGCGCTATGATGTCATGCGGCCCCGGAGCCAATCGCGAGACAATAGAACTTTCGTGATTGTAAATTCCAGAATTCGGTGCCTTGGGGAGCCGAGGCCGGGGTTGGTCCCCTCCGGTTCACGTGTCTCTGGGCAATTTTATCCCCTTTCTTCCTAATAAGCCTGCGTGGAACACAGAGCCTGCGCAATAGCAGCAGTGAAGTTCCCGATGCCCTGAACTCTGATTCTCTTAATGCCAGGCGTGCCATGGTTGTGTGGCCGTGTTGGGACGGCAGAAGCCCGCTCTCGTAGCTGGCTTCTCTACAGTTCTGAAAGGGATCTTGTTCGCCCTGATTTTAACTAATAGGGTTTAATGCCATCGGAGACCACCAAGTCTGCAGTTGAGCAAGATAAGGTAACAACGAAAAAACTGCTCAGAACTGATGTTATACCTCAACTTCCTTGTGATTTACCGTGATTTTTCTTAGGGATTTTGATTTTTCCTTAGAAGTAGCTACCAACTCCATTTCTACTCTAGAAACTATTCCAAAGGCTTGTTAAAGGAGGAAAGGTGGTGGTTAAGTGACGTCTTTTCAGCTAAACAAATTTAAGCACTTAAGACGAAATGCTTTGTGCTCAGGGCACAAATAGAAGATCCTTGCTGTTTTTCATTAATATTTGGATAATTTAAGGCTGCCATCATCCTAGTATCCTACGCTTTCCCTATATCAAGCCCCACAAATTAACCCTTTCTCCTTGTGCCCTCTTGCTATATTTCTACTACTTTGTGTCCTTCCACCCAACATAGTCAACCATTTAATGTAGGCAAATTTATTTTACATATTTACAATGTAATGTTTATTATGTGCCAGCTGTGTTCCAGGCATTGGGCCATTGCAGTAGGAACACAGGTGTACAAACTATATTTTACGTATTTACAATGTAATGTTTATTATGTGCCAGCTGTGTTCCAGGCATTGGGCCATTGCAGTAGGAACACAGGTGTACAAACTATATACAAAGTAGGTAATATAAACATACACAAATAATTGAGATTTTTAGCAGTCAATTGCTGTTCAACTCCACAAACACTGAATGACTTCAGTTTGTCAGATACTATACTGGTGTTAGGAATAAAAAAACTTCAAGGAACTCCTCCCCTGTAAAATGACAGTCAGGAAACAAGTACAATGAAGAGTGGTAAAAGCTACAACGGAAGCCAGGATACACAGATTAACAGGTGAAAAACATATTAGAAGCATTAGAGTTTGGCAAATGTATCTTTACTCTTCTGCCAGTAGTCCAAGGCCAGAGCTGATTCATCTCTTTGTCACCCTGTCCAAGTTCTGTTTTTCCAAGTCTTAAAAGTTTCAAACTTAACTTGTTACTCCAAAAATTTCAAGATTAAGTCACACTCAATTTTTTTTGTGTGTGCTCATCGATCAAAATGTATTAAGCCCATATTACCAAAATACCTACATTTTAAATTATGGATTTATATAACAAGTCATACATAAAATTTTAAATGTTTTTCTTATTTTAAGATAAAAGTAAATACAAAATTCTAATACTTTATTCCTATCTTCCAAAAGATACCTTTTCACATTCCCTTTGACAGGTAGCTCTTAGTTAATTAGTATATCTTGGTTTCCATTATAGCATTTTCCATTCTAAACTGTAGTTGTTTCCTGACTCTACTATCTTGTTTAATCCATGGGATGCTCATACCCCCACTTTAAAGACCACTGCTTTAGATTGTAAATGCCACTATATGGGGGAAATGTTGAATTTTGTTGGTTATTTATCCGCAGATCTTAGTATAGTTTCTGATATATAATGAAAGTTTAGTAAATATGTTTTGAATGAGTGAACTATTACTCCCTCTCCATCACCATGACCACCATGGTGCTTCCATTTTCTGCTCCAGAATCCCAACCTGCTGTCAGATAATTAGGACTGTCGACTCCTCTCAAACATAAGTTGGTCATTTCATGGTCTCATCCTTCCCCCAACGAGAGACTTAGGTTCCCAATACATACATGACTGAGAAGGAATCCCACCCCCCCAACTCATCTTATACGCTATAGTATAATATAATTACCATAACCACTGGATGAATTACTCCATATCATAGTCCCATCTCATTCCTGGATCAAGCTTCAAGAAAAGCAGCAGAACTGAAATGACTCCTCAGTTTAACTGGGGGTATTATTTTTTTTTTTTTCGAAATAACTCAAAAAAAAGAATGCTTAGAATTCAGTGCCAGTGTTCAAGGAAAGTGTTTTAGTTAGCATCAGAATAAGATTCTTTGCCAACTGGGTTCTAGACACTGTGCTGGAGCCATCCCAGTCCTTATAACTAACCTATCAAAAGTGAACCCAGGCAGGGCGCAGAAACAAAACCCTGTAATTCTTGCCTGTTTCTTCATAGGACCCATATGGTAGTCCCCCTACAAGTGATTACTGAATCATCTTCATTAAGTACTTAACTGTTTTGTTCCTACTTCTCTTCTCCTGCTGTCCTTTATTTCTTTTTAAATTCTGGCAGCATTTTTTTTTTTCTGTTCTTAGTTTTTTGTTTTTTTTTTTTCTGTTTTTATCAATGGTCTCAAACATTCTCCAACCCCACACTTCCAAGTGTATTAGAAATTTGCTTTAATACTGCTCTTGAGAAAGAAATTATTTAACATCCTGGGAAATTTATTTTTATTGTATCTGTAGTTGGATTAAGAAATACAATTGAAAGTTGTATGCAATTCTAATTAGAATGTAATTCTAATTAGTAAGACTGTTGTTTCATTTAAAGATGAAATACTATATGTGCTTAGGAGGTATCTGCATGACATGATGAAACCTGCCTTCTGAAATAGTATATAAGCCTGTGTTTACCTCTGGATATTTTGAAAGTTGACTAAAATGTAGGCCAAGTATAAGCTAGTTTATGCTAAGGATGCCATTATGCAGTCTCCAATGGTTTCTGCCTTTTCTTTTATCTTCCCTGTGATCTTGCTCTTTTTCTTCTTTTCTAGTTTATATTTTCTATTTTCTTGTTGCCACGGGTTCCCATTGGCCTGGCTTGTCTTTGCTGAGGCAGATAGAGAGTAAAGGCAGTTTCCTTTCCCCCTTAGACCTTGGAGTCAGTTCCATGCTCCTATTGTTACTTTGGTGCTACTCCTTTTATTGCTGTTCAACAACACGACTGAGATTTATCCCTATTCCTATCCTCGAGTGTTCATCTTGGTGGATGAGAACCTCTTGAAGGATGCCTATGGCTGGTCTGCCATGTTGCTTTCCCAGTGGCCAGCAGAACCCCTGCCAAATAGCAGGTGCTCATAAATATCTGCTGAATAAATGAACAGTTTGAACTGTTTCTAGAATCTCCAGTCTTTTCTTCTCCACTTCATTATACACTCTTTAGTACTCTACCCAGGAGTAACTGGGCTACGAAAGGAATCTGTCCTCAGTGGTCTCTATCTACACTTACTATCTAGATGACATTATCACTCCTTTGCATGACTTTGGATTACATCTATACTCTGCTGACTCTCAAATGTATATCTCCAAGCCCAGACTCATTCTCCCCACCTCCCACCCCCCAATTCCAGATTTATATATTTAACTGCCTAGTAATGATTTCTCCTCCTGGATATCCAAAAGGTATCTCAAAATGAGAATAATAAAAAATGAACTCACGATTTTTCCTCAAACCTGTTCCTCTCATGCTCTTTCCAGCTCTGTAAATGACAACTCCATTCATCTGGTTTCTCAAGCCAAACACCTTAGAGCTATGTTTAGCTCCTTTCTTTCACATCCTACATCCATGCATTAGCAAACTTATGCCTGTGCCATCTTCAAAACATATCCAGAATCTTTTTACTTTTCACAATCTTTACCATAGCCATGAGTTTCTCACTATTAGTTGCTGCCCAGAATTTTGTAATAGCCTTCTAACCTCTACTTCTGCTTTTGCCTCCTACAGTCTATTCCCAACCTAGCAACCTGAGTGATCCTTTTAAAACCAAAGCCAGATTATGTCACTTATTTGCTTAAAACCATCTATCAACTTGTCATCTTGGTAAGAATAAAAATCAAAATCCTTACAATAGCCTATAAGATCCTTTAAAACTAAGCACTTTACCATTTCTGTGACCTTCTGAAGCTACTTCGTCTTCTACCCACAATGGGCTCCTTCATATTCCTTGAGTACACCAAGCATTAGACTTACCTCAGGGCTTTTGCATTTACTCTTCTTTATAATAATCTAATCCAGAAGGCTCCAAGGCTTATACCTATGCATTGTTCTGTTCTCTATAAATACCATCTTAGAGAGTTCTCCTTGCTTACTCTAAATTTACAGTTCCTTCCTTGCTGCCCACATTTTGGAAGCTTTTTACTCTGCTTTATTTTACTCTTTAGCACTTATCACTGTCTGACGTACCATAGGTTTATTTTTAATATTTATTTATCCCTCCTCTCTTCATAAACTCACTCAGGGCACAGACTTTGTTCTGTTCACCACTGTATCCCCACACTTGGAATACTGCTTAGCACCTGGTAAAGCACAATAAATATTCAATGGATAATTGAATGAACACATGAATGGAAAAATGAAATACAAATCAGTAAGATATGTTTTTACTAGTACCACTTGGCCACAAATTAAGTCTAAGAGAAAGAAAATACCAACTACAATAAATTAAAAATTATTATCTATGGATTTTATTTTTCTGCTCCCTAGAAGTCAGTTATAAAGTCAATATAATAAGTTTTTCTTGCCACTTTTATGAAATTTTAAAATAAGAAAAATTAATGTGATCCAAAGAATACTTAATATTTTTAAAGTGCTATAAAAGGAAGAAAGACTATAATTACAGTTATCATGAAGAAGTACCATTTTCAAACTGGTATGAATTTGGAATATCTTACTCTTCTATAAATGCAGCAGTTGTCTTTAATGTCAAGCAATTTCTCTTGGAATAGAAACTGTCATGATATTTTAAAATGAATTGGATTAGATACCAATTCTTTCTCT